ACAGACGTTGGCGGGGATGTGGAGAAAGGGGAACCCTCCTACACTGTTGGTGGGAATGCAAGCTGGTGCAGCCACTCTGGAAAACAGTATGGATGTTCCTCAAAAAGTTGAAAATGGACTACTTGATTTCTAAATTACCTTTCAGATTTAATATTATATGGTTTTCTGATTGCAATTTCTGAGGATTCCTATTTTTATTTTATAGAGAGTTTTCAGTCATCCTTCCTTATATATTTAACAAGATAGATAATACCAAATAGTAAATAATCTAAAAGTAATACATTTGCTTATATAATAATAGCAATTGTTTCTAGTGCTTGCTTAGTTTGTGTTCTCACTAACAGAGGTTAATAGGAAGTAACATTGTTGGTTTGAAGAAATCACAGATTATGTACTAAAGCAAAATTATATGATAAATAATGATTTATATATGACTCAAGAGTTTTTCTTTTTAAATATGAAGATTAAAATAGACAATTTTCATATGTGACAACATATAATACTTAAACTGAATTTTCTCATCTCAATTTCTATACTTACAACTTTATAACTTTTGTGATAGATTAATGTAAACTGTTGTATTTATTTGATCATCTTAAATTAGTGTAATCTAAACATGGAATTCAGTTGTGTATACCTTAAGCTATTCTCCATATTTTGATTTTAAATGCTAAATGAGCCAAATTTTTAGACAAAATCTTTTTTAAAAAGTGAATACCTATTTGCTTAATAAATCAGTAATGGTCTTCTTTCCTACAGTGAGGAAGCAAACTTTTGACCAGTGTTTTTGCCTAAATCCATTGTAACTGGAAATTCATATTGCTTTTATAAATGTTGAATTCACAAACATGAGTAGGTTCTATGATTTTTACTGAAACTTCAACCTCAATCTGTTATGGCCTAAGAAGCATTCATCCTTGATGCTACCTTTCAAATTCATTTGAAATCATATAACCTGTCTTATGCTTAAAAATAAAGTCCCTGATAGTTATTAATTTATTTTGTATGTACTGGTTGGCTTAAAATTAATCATAATAAATTTATTCGGTGTTTATGTGCATGTCGTTAATATAGTACTTCCAAGCTTGCACTTTGTCAGCCTTCATTAACTGGCCAATTAATTACATGGAGGTACTTCTCATCTAAGTTTTTCTTTGATTTTTTTTAAAAACTCTGCAAAACAGATTATAATAATGTATAAATATTGAGAATATTATACCTACAGTGCCTAAAATCTAGAATAATGCCTGGACCAATTATAATAATGGGCCTTCTCAAATAATATTTATTTTACCTTGATTCCATCTGAATTTACTTTTGATTTTATTTCTAACCTCTTGCCTTCAAAGATTGGCACTCTGAGATTGCTCAGATATCTTAACTCTTATTAAGACTTACTAAGAGTTAAGACTTATTAGGGGGAGCCTGGCTGGCTCAGTCAGTAGAGCATGCTACCCTTGATCTCAGGGTTGTGAGTTCAAGCCCAACATTGGGCTTAGAACTTACTTTAAAAAATAAATTAATTAATTAAAATTTTAAAAATCAAAAGGCTAAAAAAAAAAAAGGGCACCTTGCTAGCTCAGTTAATAGAGTATGCGACCCTTGATTTCAGGGTTGTGAGTTCACACCCCACATTGGACATAGAGATTACTTTAAAAAAAGAGAGAGAAAGTTAAGACTTATTAACTCTATTTTTCTATATATGCTGTGTCTTTATATGTACTTATAATTTGTATTTGACCCAGTTTTAAATATATTTTGAAGTAAACATATATGCATACCCAGAATAGTTAAAATGAAATTAAAACACAGATAATAAATCATATAATAAGGATTAGAAATTGTTCAACCAGAAACCAGAATGAGATAATTGTTGAAACTTAGTATTTGGTTTGACCATGAGTTTTCTGACTGCCAAGGAAAAGAACAAAAACATTTTCATTTTTCCAGTTTAATGAGAGAGACAAAGTGTCATTAAACTTTAGATACCAGAATGGCTCTGTTTTCTGTAGCCAGAAATTCCTTACTTAAGCCTTTCATCTTCCTTTTATTCATTCACCGATTTACATATTATCTGCTTTTTGAAAACCTTGTATTACGTACTCAGTGAGGAATTGTCTTTTCTCTGAATTTATACATTGATCATTATAAAAGTATAGCTGTCACTAATTAACTGCCTATCATGTGAAAGGCAAATAACAGACACTGAATTATCTCCAATCCTAGCAATAATCCTGCAAGATTCATGCTGTTTACCCTCTTTGCAGATGATGAGACTGAGACCACGAGAAGCTAAGTAATTTGCACAAGGTCAAATAGCTAATAAGGGCAGAGTTCGTTAGCTGAATTCCAGTAGCATTTTGTAATTTGAGGATTTCTTCATGGAGAATGTTCATTTAAAAAAAAAAAAAAATCCGTAGTTGTGTAATAACCCCATAAGCTTTTTTCACTGTTCCTCCAAAAGAGAAGTTATATGAAACCCATTGACATTTGAATATTACTGTGCTTTCTTGCAGCCTGTGAACTTATGAATCAAGGCATCTTGGCCCTGGTCAGCTCCATTGGCTGCACGTCAGCAGGGTCCCTCCAGTCTCTGGCAGATGCCATGCATATCCCCCACCTCTTCATACAACGCTCAACAGCTGGGACCCCAAGGAGTGGCTGTGGACTCACCCGGAGCAACAGGAATGATGACTACACTCTCTCTGTTCGCCCACCTGTCTACTTAAATGATGTTATCCTGAGAGTGGTCACAGAATATGCCTGGCAGAAATTCATTATATTCTATGATAGTGAATACGGTAAGTGTTTGTGATTTGTGTGAGTTTTGTAAGCTGATATTTGCATGGCAAGCAACTTCATTAAATCTTAAAAAACTTCAAGGAGCTTACTCATTGTTAACTGTGATTTTCTTGTTCTGTCATAATCTTACAAATCTAGCAGCAAAAACAAAAAGTTTTACTGAGTTCAAGTTCAGTCGTTTGTATTAAATCACTTTGAAGTCAAATTAAAAAATAAATACCTGTCCCTAATGCTCAGTTTATAAATGTTTCTAAAGGGAATTTGATTCCAATATGTCTTGATTTTTCAAATAATGAGAAGTCCAAGGCAATACCGTCTTTCTCCCTTTTCAAAAACATTTGTATCTTTATAGAATAATAAAACACTGTTTTGGACAGATCCTGGAACACTGAAAATAGATGCCTATTTATATTTATTGGTTCAAAAAAAAAACCTGACCTATTTCCTTACATCCTTACACTCTTTGGGAGTAACGGTTTATATTACTTTATAGTTAGCATGGCATTTTGTCTGCAATATGAAATTTCACAAAAATTCTGAGTAGTATGAAGACACTTAATTTATTTAACTCCCCAAGATAAAACACAAAGCATTTGCCCTAAATTTACTATAATTTGAGAAGATACTTTGTCTCAGTATTTTTACTTGTGTTACATTAAGAAAAGTGAACAAAAATGACAACTATAGTTTATTTTTTCCTGAACAAATCTATTTTCTAACTGACTGATCCCAAAGATGTTCAAATTTAGTCTCTCCAATTTTTGTCATTAGGGGGAATAGAGATGGATATAATAAAATGAGAGAAAATTAGCAGGTCTTCATGAAGATATATATTTTGAAACATGTTTCTTTAGAGATTTGCCTTAAAAAGGAGTCTCAGAAAAATGTTTTCCATTCAGGATGGATGGGTCTAGTTTTTATTTTTTTATTTCAAAAAATCACGAAGACTTCACCCTCTGTAGTACAACCAATTTTTTCTTAGCAAATAAATAAACATTTAAAAATAATGGTTTTCTTGTCATAATCTACCCAGCATTGTGAACAATACTAGAGAACAGTTACACAAGAGCGAGCCAGAAAGTGGCATCAATAGAACTGAGCACAAACAGGTTGGCAGAAATCTGGAAAGCAACGAATAGGAGCCCCTGTGGACTCCCACGGAGGGAGACCAAGTGGCAGTTACATTTATCCCTAAATATTCAAAGGTCGCATGGGGTTTTGGCAGCCAGAGTAGATTGAACTTGACAGGGAAATTTCAGCCAGAAGTCTGTGGCCCTCTCCAGAAGCACACTTGTCTCCAGGACGGAAATCCTTATTTTTGTTACTTAATTCATATTATTTAGGGATCACAGAACAAAGACCAAGAGACTGAAATGAATAAAATTAAACAGAAACGAAAAAATAATTGGCTCATCAGTAAAAGTAAGGGTTGAACGCAAATTTGAAATTTGCTGATAGGATTATTTAGTGAATGTAGTAGACTCTACCTCTGGAATCAATATGTGGAATATGCCTTTGTCAGTTTTCTTTCCATCATATTATCTATGATTTTTATTACCTTAACTGGCATTCTTATGATCTCTGCTCAAATATAACTTGAAATAATGAATTTTTAAACTGTAACCCTTTCTTTAAGATGGGGAAAACATTTTTTAGTTAGTCTTACCAAAGTAGTCCAGTAAAATAAAGAACAGAAAAGTGATTTTTGATGAAAGTTTTCACAACATTAAAATGAGAATTTTACTTTTTCATTATATACATCCATGAGGAAAAAAAATCCCTTGTTATCTTGTTTCCAAGTCCTACATAGTTTACAGCTAGGAAATTCTTATAAGAGAATACATTTTTATTATTGATGAGGCAAGTGTTTTTGAAAATGTACACTAAATTCATAGTCATAGAAAATCATTTACATACATTTGAAATTCCTTATTCTTTTTTCCTCTGTTTAATAAGTAAATAAGATGCTGTAATCACAGTGCATGACTGGAGTCCTCTGTTAGAAGCAGGATTTGTTTTAGGAATAATAATAATAATAATATGTTCTTTTACTTTGATGATAAACTTGCTTTTGACTTACTTTTTAATTTAATAATTCATGAAAAACTACCCTGCTCATATCCTTAAAATTATTTCCAGTAATACTCTTGTTTAATAAAAGAAAATTTCCCTTTGATGCTCACAATAAATCTTCCTAGTAAAGAACTGGGCTAGAGTCCAAAATAAACATCAAGCTATCCAAATACCTTCTACCTTGAAGAGGGCTACATGTATTTACATATCCATTCATCGATGTCATCATTTTAAGTTCAAACATTGGAATTATACTTGACTTTTATCTTGGTTATCAGGAATTGCTTTCATTAAGGAATGGATTAAGCTGAGAAGCACGAATTCAAACACTGATAGTCATTTCCATAGTTCTCGTTTTTCACCACTATTTTGACTCTATAGAAATAAGAATAAAATTAATTCCTGACAACTGTAAAATTTTTAAAAAATGAGTTTACAAATGAAATACATAGAATCATCTTGTCATGATGTCAAGCCTGCAGATCTTCACCATATTAAGATTTTCAAAGAAAAGTACTGTATATCAATTCAAGAAGATTTGGCTATCATTGGAGGTATGGAAACAGGACAGTCATTGGGCCAAAGTAGGCTGACCCATTGGCACAAACAGCTGCCTTCCTGCAGAATAACCATTCTTGCTTTTCAATTTGCCAACAAAATGCGAAGTTCATTTGAGAGACCAATACCTCCCATTGAAAAACTACATTTTTTGGCTCTCTTACAGCTGGGAGTTGTGATATAATATTGTCAAGAGCTATGAAGGGTCTGAGATTTTACCCTACTTGCAAGCTAAGTTAGCTTGCATCAATTTCATAGATACTGGCAGAAAACATTCTACTTCTTTAGACAGATAGAGGACTTTAATACTCATGGTACAGCAAGCAGCGTGAACCTCATATTAATGTTGTTTCCTCTTGACCTCCTGTCTTACAAGACTATGTGTAGCCACTCTGGTGGATGCTGTACATGCAGTGGGCTCGTGTGACAGCTAAGGAATCCTGGCTTAGGGAATCTCTGTCTTTTATGATGGGCTTCTAAGTAAACCTGCTTGGCATATGTCCAGAAAAAGACATTATCTTCATTGTAAATAAGTCTCTCTTATCTAGGGAGAGTTTCTGCTTGCATAATATGAAATAAGACGCAAAATCTATGGAGAATTGTCTCCCCAAAAGATTTTTTGTTTGTTTGTACAATATTGTTGGCTTCTAGCAAATTTCCCTATGTTTATGCCAGTCCTAAAACCACTCTGGTTAATCTTATTGACAGGAGGTAGGATCAGATCTATTCAATTTGTCTCCTCTGCATTTATTTAAAGAAACTATAAATAAGATTTTTAATGAGCAAGATTGATCTCAACCATGCCCATCAGGGTCCTGGACTCAGCAAGCTGAATAAATCCCATAAACTATCAAGAGTCTACTTTATTTTTTTAATTAAAGATTTTATTTATTTATTTATTTATTTATTTATTTATTTGAGAGATAGAGCGAGAGAGAGTGAGAGAGCACAAGCAAGGAGAGCAGCAGAGGGAGGGGAAGAAGCAGGCCCCCCGCCAAGCTGGCAGCGTGATGCGGTGCTCGATACCAGGACCTTGGGATCATGACCTGAGCCGAAGGCAGACGCTCAACCGGCTGAGCCACCCAGGCGCCCCAAGAGTCTACTTTAAAAAGTCAGAGAGTTTCCTCCTTAAATTTCTGCATAAACCTTTTTACTTGGCCAGAGGCATTGATCCAGGTACAATAAGATTTATTTGTAATTGCAAAGATTCTACCTGTCTCACAAGGAGAAATTCTGTCATCTAGAACAACCTTGGCCAGTGAGTTGAGGCTGACCTGAATGACTTCCAAGGCTGAAGTGGTACCATCAATCACTTTAGTGAAATTCATGGGAAAAAATTCTAATTGGATGACTCTTATCATGGGGAAGACTATCTATAGGACACATATCAGTAACAAGTAGATATGGCTCCCTGTGGCTCTCCCAAATTAATTAGGGTAAGCCTCACTTTAGAGAGATCTCAGTTAAGTACTACATTATCTGCTGCTAGTGTTTACTTAAACACTTTAAGGTCTCAAAGCCACCCCTAATGTGTGACTCTTGTCTTCAGAAAGGAGGTAACCTTCACACAAGAACTACAGTTCTGGAAATGCACATGATGTCCCTGGTGTGGGAGGGGGGTTGGAGAGATCGAGGTTAGGAAAGAGTGAAGGGAAGGGTTGGTTGCATTGCTGGGATCCCCTGAGTGAGACATATATCAATAGGTCCTTCAATATGACTTCTGGTATTTCTAAGAGTTCTCAATTCATATAGGATATATGAATCCAGCTCTTGTTTAGGAGAGACAGCCTGAGGTCAGTCAATACAATCTGTCTTTAGTGTTTGTTTCAAGGGTTAGCAACCTACTGTTGGGCCTGAAATTTCTTTTTGTAAATAAAGTTTCACTGGAACACAGCATGTTCATTTGTTTGCCTGTTGTCTGTGTCTGCTTTTGAGCTACAATATCAGAGTTGAGCAGTTGCAGTAGAAACAATATAACCCATAAGCCTAAAATATGACACCATGGTCCTTTAAGAAATTGTTTACTAACCTCTGTTCTATGGCATCATCTGGTGATTTTCTTACCGCTCCATGTAATGAATGAAAATAGAGGCAGAGAAGGTATTTGGAGAGATAGGTGTTTTGCAGGAGGAGTGCATCTCCTGCTGTTTCCAGTAGTCTTTTTGATAAGATTAAGGGAATGATGATCAAATCCTGAGTATAGCCCTCTCTGATGAGGAATAGCAGATCCAGCAGTCAGTTAAATTTAAGGCCTTTATATCAATTTGAAAGGTCTGCACCAGGGTATTTCCTTTCACGAAGAGAACTCCAAGAGTTATTTTGAAAGACAAAAGTCATTCATGTACATCCATTCTATCTTAGGGGGCCT